CGCTTCGATGCTTCGCGTGTAGTGGTTCCCAACGATCCTGACTTGCGCTCGCGGATCATCCACGAGTTCCACGATATCCCCCTTGGCGCTCACTTTGGCCGTGAGAAGACATTCGCCGCAGTGTCGCGCGACTTTTACTGGCCCCACATGTATAAGTGGGTGCGCAAGTGGGTGAGGACCTGCGAGATCTGTCAACGCGTGAAACCGTCCGCGTCATCGCAGGCTCCCCTGCGTCCCTTACCAGTGGCCACCGAGGCATGGCGCTCGGTGTCGATGGACTTCGTCTTTGGCCTCCCACCCGACTCCGCCGGGCGCTCCGGTGTCCTGGTATTCGTCGACAGGTTCAGCAAGATGGTTCACCTCATCCCGGTCCCGGATACGATCACCGCGACCGATACCGCGGTGCACTTCGTGGATGCAGTCTTCCGTCATCATGGAATGCCCGAGTCCATTGTTTCGGACCGCGATCCGCGGTTCACGTCTGCTTTCTGGACGAAGCTCTTCGAGCTATCAGGGACAAAGCTGCTGATGTCGACGGCCGCTCATCCGGAGACGGATGGCCAAACCGAGCGAGTTAATCGCGTCCTTGAGGACGTACTTCGCAGCTATGCGACGTCGTTTACGAGCTGGAGCTCGTTCCTTCCGCTTGCTGAGTTCGCGCTGAACAACGCGGTTCACGCGTCGACTGGCTTGACTCCTTTCTTCGTCAACAACGCTCGGCACCCTCGCGTTCCAGCTCTCCTCGCCGTGGGCCGTCCCACGGCGCCGTGTGGCTCCACTCTGGGTGGGGGTGAAAGAGGCGACAACCACTTTGTGACAACTCCGGTTTTGAACCCACAACCGGTTACCATACCGGTTGCCGACAAGCCTTCTACGCCAACACCGGTAATGGACCCTCAACCGGTTTCCATACCGGTTGCCGACTACTCCTCGAGTGCAGCCTCATCTTCAGCGACTGTTAACGCAGTGACACACGCCCAGGCCAGGAAGGCCCTGACGACTCCCCGCGACGCAGTGTCCCCTCTCGCCTCGTGGACGAATCGTGCCCTGATCAATCCTGGCACCGCTAACGCGGTGTCTCCATCAGCGAACTACGCGCCAAAGCAACCGGCACATCCGGCTGATAACACCGCTGTCTCAGACTTCCTCCTCCAGCGCCAAGCAGTCACCCGATACGTCCGCGACGCGCTGCAGACGGCGGTCGACAAGCAGAAGGAAAACGCGGACAAGCGCGGCCGCAAACACACAGTAAAGTTCGCGACAGGAGATCGAGTGCTCCTGTCGACTTCAGGAATCAGAGACTCTGCCGTCACCAACCTCGGCGCGAGTAAACTCGCACCGCGCTTTATTGGGCCATTTACGGTGACTAAGGTTATTGGCGAGGCTTACACACTGGATATCCCCACGTCGCTGCGACTACATCCGACGTTCTACGTCGGACGACTCAAGCAATACCTGCCCGCTACGATTCCTTCTTCGACTCAGTCTCCTGAGCCGCCGGCGCATATAGCGGCCGCCCCGCCCGACGCGCGCGCCGAGCCATCGCGCCATTCACACCAGGCGCCTGCTTCACCGTCCCGCTCTGCAGACTACCATGTACCGCGCGCTCAAGAAGCCTCACGCGCGCCAAGAGTTCCCGATTCGACTGACGAGTCTCAGTCGCAGTCCTCACGGCATTTGCAGCCGCGTTCTGGGCCTCCTCCGCCTCCTGATACGCCGTCCAGAAGCTCCCCGCGAGATCTTCCTCGCGGCTCCCAACCAGAACGTCAGTCGTATCAGCGGGACGGTCCCCCGCCGAATTGTCGACTCAGCTGGCGAGATCCGCTGGATAGTCGAGAAGATTGTCGATCATAAAGACCCTCCCCGTCGGTCGGGGCAGCGCCATGTGTCCACCAGTCGCACGGCTCCCGCCGCGCGCCGCTATAGAGTACGATGGCTTGGCTTTCCGGCGGACCAAGATACGTGGGAGCCCCGCGCGAATCTTCTTCGCGATGTCCCGGACGTGATCCAAGAGTACGACTCCAGCCTTCCTGCGCCGGAGAGCGCCGCGAATAATCACGCGGCGGCCGAGAACGGGATCTCCAGTCTGCACGACCACGCGAGCGTGATCGAGAACGACGCTGCTGGCGATCGCGCGAGCGCGACCGAGAACGACGACCCGAGTTCTCGTAATCCCAACGGAGCGGCGAAGATGCGCTTCGTCGAGACGAGTGTCGGCGCGAGCCGGCGCGACTAGCGGCGCTGGCCTTTTCGGACAGCGAGCGACGGTAACGCTGGATCCAGGCATTCTCGCGATCACTGAGCGGATGCTCGGCGACATGGGCTCTCCACTCGTCCGTAGTCGGGCGAGACGACACACACCTCCTGCAGCCTTCAGCAACTCGCACGTAGCAGATGCGGTCGTCGGCGTTCCAAGCGCTGTCGCAGATTCGTACGCGCAGCTCGCCCAAGGAATGGCCCCCGATGATTTCTTCCCGGTATGCGATCCAGTCGACGAGATTCTCTTCCTGCGCTTGCGTCCGGTTCCAGCGCCGGATGAAGGCGCACCACGACTCCTGTAGCGCACTGTGGTCGACGCCGTCCACCGGCTTCTGGCGCAGCGCACGAAAACGCCGGAAGAGGTCCTTCATCTCGTCTAGAGACTCCGGATCTTGCGCTCCGGAGATATCATACAGGGCCCAGGGTCTCAGCGCCTCGTTCATCACGTGGGTGCCGCGGTCGTCGCGCTCGTCAGCGACGTCGCCGTCGCTGGAATCTGCTGCTGTTGCTGTTCCATCGTTCGCTCCTGTTGTCTGCTGTGCAAGTCGTGTTGTACTTCTCCTGCGTGGCGCAGGATCTGTCTCGTCCCCGCCTCGTTCGTTCCTGTTGGCCACGATTTTCTTCTTGTTTCCCTTTTGATTGATTTGTTCCCCGCCCGTCGCTTATGTTGCGTAAGTGCAACTTTAAGAGGGGGGTGATGAAGTGGGCCACGCCATTACATAAGTAGGTAGATTTATATTACAAAAGTAGGTGCAGCAGCACACGGCTAGCGTGTGCTGAACTGCCGTCATCCTATTGGTTGATATATGGGGAGCCAGACCCATTATCACCCAATAAGGGTTTGACGTGTATTTGAGTGGTCAGGGCAAGCTGCCCTGGACCTAAATAAAAACACAGTTGATTTTCCTTCAGACTAAGCACTTGGTTTCACTATCGCGGAACTTGCACGCTTCCTCATTATTACGTGTAAGCTAGTAACGGACACTCTAGGCCCGTTACATAATGCGTCTGATAGAAAGCCTGTTACGTTTGAGAAAGCGGCGCAAAAACTCGATATTTGCACCGCGGGAACGACTCGCAAAGAGCTCTCCATCAAACCTAGAATGCATTAGAAGCAGACATTGCATCGAAACACAGAGAGATCGATTTTTGCGCATTTCTGTAATCCACGACAACAGTCTTAATCATACACTCTTAGAACAATTACTAGTATTCAAAATTTAATGCATAAATAATAATACCTTTGCTCGAGATTCGGGTGTTTAACGTAGAGATTTTGGCGGCTTGGTACTGAGGCGTAGTACTTGTTTGGTGCGGCACTGGCAAGGGCATTTTTTGCCGCATCCACCGGTACATTGTCGTTCGGTGAACGCCTAGCTCAGCAGCCAAGGCGACGACTGAGCTGGCCTCTCCGAGGCGTAAAAGCCCTCGCAGCTTGGACTTGTTTTTGTTCTTCGGGCGCCGTGTCATTTGCACAATGGGGGCGGGTGTCATTTTGGCGCGAAAGTGAGATTGTTGGTGCGCAGTGAACACAAGTTTTTACGGGTGTAAGAAGTGCGCACGCCTCTATGCAATTTATACTAGAATTGAACTTTTTACCAGTGTAGCATTGAATCCGTGTTTTACGGTAGGGCTCCATCAGCCACCGCAGAATAAATTATTTGATTTTGAAATGGGAGCTCGAAACTAAATTATTTTACTGCAAAATAAGAAATATATTTAATAAAAATAACATTTTCGGAACCCCTGCATGGAACCACGTTGTGCATGATTGGAGCGGCAAACAACCCACCCCAAATCATCATCCTCAGGGTGGCTCTTAACCACTGCACGTGTGCCATGCCATGGCACTAGAAATTGAGCCATGGCATGGCGTGGTTACGAATAGAATTGCCCTGCCACTGTGCCATCATGAAAACTATTTTTAGAACATACATTAATGAAAATAAAAGTAGCATGGCACATGGCAATTGCCTCTTGCCATGACACTTGCGAATGCCATCCGTGGCACTTCCTGTCATTTTATTTACTTTAAACTCTAGCCCTAGCAAGCGCTCATCCAATCGGATCACAGCATTTTGTGCCGTTAAGAGCGACCCTCAGTGTTTGGAATGAACTCGCACTCATGAGTCCGCCATGATCTTCTTCTGTCTCTTGGGCAGGTTTGGCCTCAACGTGTTGGGCCATCCGATCTCCAGTGCCGAACAGTGAGGCGGCAGTCAGGGCCTGTGTTACCAGCGGGGCTTCATGCAGCCAGTAGTTGTAGAAGTGCCCTATACGACGCACCATGGCCGCACTTGCTCAATCGAGTGCCGGGGACAGAATGGGTGGGGCCTGGATGTCCCACCGATAAGCTAACACCGCACATTGCTCTCAGCAAAGACACGAACTATACGTGAGTAGTAGTCCTACGTCAGGTACTGGTGGGTCGGTCACCCAGTGTCAGCGAAGACACCCACGGTAAGCCCACCGTGGGCCCACCGTGGGTGTCTTCGCTGACACTATTCGGACGGAGTCCGCATGCAGTGCATGATGCACCGGCATTTGATCTTTACTTCGGGTCAGCAAAGCAGTAGCGTAAATCTATCGAAGTGATTATCACATTCTCCTTCGCTATTAGGTATAATTGTAGCGATAAGACTTGCCTAAGCTTTGACGTTTCAAGGCTGGCATCGACGCCAAGGAGGTACTTGGTTGGCCTGTGGGGGCATCTGAACCGTCGACAGGACACTCAGTCTTGTTTAAGGAGTCCAGTAGGTCGAGACGAAATGCGGCGCTTTGGCGAGCTCTACCACTTCTGGCTGCATGAAGCTCCACTGCTGACTAAGGTCGTGACGGCGGCCACACTCTTTGGCACCGGAGATCGAATCGCGCAGCGACTCGAGGCCAATAACAACTACAGTATTTTTGGCGAGTTGTCAAGCGAGCATGCACCGCATCAGAAGGATAAAGGCTCCAAGCTCATAAGCGACAGTGCAGCTCGAACGCTGCGGATGATGGTCTGGGGTGGGTTATTTGCAGCCCCTATCATGCACACGTGGTTCCATGTCGTCGAGCGAGTGATCCCTGGCACCGGCAAACTTGTCGTGGCGAAGAAGGTCGCCGCGGACATGATGATCATCGCGCCCGGGACGTCTCTAGCATTTTTCACAACCACAAAGTGTATGGAAGGCGAGCCCCTGCATGAGTCTTTTCAAATCGCCAAGGCCAAGTTACCACCGACGTTGCTCGCGGATTATATGCTGTGGCCAGCAGCAAACGCCGTCATTTTTGGACTGGTTCCGCTCCATTACCGCACCCCGCTCACGCACTGTGTCAGCCTCGTGTGGTCGGCATTCTTGTCTGAAATGGCCAGTCACGAACCGCCACAGCTGATGACGCCACGGGGAACTAGTGCGCCGAAGCCGCCAGTGCCGTCCAGTTCGATCGCACTGTAAGGGATCAAAACTCAACATTAGAGGGAAGTCAGCAGTTAAAAAACTACACTTTTAATCCATTGGAGCTAAGTTCAATCTACACCGCCACGGCAATTTCCATCTCGTGGTCCTCCTTGATACGGTTGCTGGCCATGCGGGACAAGAACGTCGACCAGCCCAAACTCACGCAGTTGACAAAGGGTGTGCGGTATTGGAACGGGATGAGAGTGAACACCATGAGATTGGCCACGGGCCACACCTTGTAGTTCATGGCCATCGTAGGATACAGCTTGGTCTTAGCTATCTCGAACGCGTCGCTGAGTCGTTCGCCCTCCATGCTCTTGGTCACTGTGAAGAAGCCCAGCGCCATGGCGGGGGCAACGATCACCATGTCGGCTGCAACTTTCTTGGCCACGGCGACCTTGCCTTTCCCGGGTATCGCGCGCTCAATGAGATGGAACCACGTGTGCATGATGGGGGCTGTGAATAGTCCGCCCCACACCATCATACGTAGTGTCCGTGCTGTACTTTGACTCACAAATCTGTCGTTGTTAACGTGACTGGTTCCTTGATCAACATCGGTGACTGGCGCGCTGCTGGCCTCGATACGCTGCGCAATTCGATCGCCAGCACCTGATAAGGTGGCAGCCGTCAGTGCCTTGGTCAGTAGCGGTGCTTCATGCAACCAGTAGTGATAGAACTCTCCGATACGACGCATGTCGACAAATGCAATGGAAGTACGGTAATGTGCGGTACGGAGACAAGTCATTTTAAATGGACACTTTTCGCTTAGCAACGAGCCCATTTATTCTTGGCTTACTCATTATATACCCCCCATTATTTCAAAAGATGACCTTTTCTTCCATTAAGCTCGTGCTGCTTCCTCCGACTCCTCCATCTGCTGCACGAGGAAGTCTTCGATTTTGGGAGCATTTGAGACCTGACCATCATCGTTGGTTGCCATTCGGGACAGGAAGGCTGACCAACCGATATTCACCGCGTTGATAAACAAAATCCGGTACTGTAACGGCACAAAGCCAAAGGTGCACACGTGCACCAGCGGCCACACGGTCCAATTCACAGCGAGTGTCGGCGGCAATTTAGCTACTGCACTCTCCACTGTTTCACGCAAAGGCTTACCGTCAGAAACTCCAGCGTACGTGAAGAATGTTAATGATAGTGGTGGGGAGAAGATGAGTTGATCCGCCGCGATCTTCTTAGCGACCGCAGCCGTTCCCTTGCCACGAACCGCCTTCTCCAGACAATTGTACCACACGTGGCCGATAGGGGCGAACAAAACTCCACCCCAAAGCATCATACGCGCCGTCTGCTCGAGTCCGCGACGGTCGTCTGTATCGGCGGAGTTCGTGTCGATCCGTTGCGCGATTCTGTCTCCGAGACCGAAGAGAATGGCCGAGGTCACGCCTTTCGTCAGCAACGGAGAGTCACGAAGCCATCGATCATATCTCACGCGAAATCGACGCATAAGCACGCAGCCTCTGACGAGCGAATTACGGAATGCCGCAACTGGAAAACGGAACTGATTGAGAAAGCACTCTACTGACATGTGAAATAACCGTTACCGGTATACGGGACCCTGAGGTAGGTGCAGGGATGCCGAATATTGCATTTTTATCTATTGCTAATCAAAGCAGAAAATAAATAATTGGGTTAGAGAGCTGACTAGACCAAAATAGATTATTGAACTTCCTGGAGGTTCTGGCAATTGAGCATACTTATTGAAGAAAAGTAGAAACAAAGATCGAAACGTAGCAAACACTGTTACTCGTGACGATGTCGGTGAGTGGCATGAGCGACGATACATTGGTAGAAATTCTCATCTAAAATCTGCGACTTCCTGAGTGGATGAAGGTGTCGAGACATGCGAACCTGGATAAGACCCGGTCTTAGGAGCAAAATTTGCTCATTTTGATGCCATTGCCGGTGCTCATAGCGAAGTGGATGGTTAAGTATCATGTTCTTTAGCTGTGGGCCCGCCGCGTAGCAACAAAGCCCAAAATTCCTTTCTTTCAGGTGCCCACTAAGAAAGCTACTTCTCGACGCTACTGTTTAAGCCGCATCCATACCAAAAAGTTGATTCTAATCAGCAATTCGCTAGCTTTGTGATATGAGGGAAACGCCCTCAGTTTATCTCGAAAAAGTAGCTATTTCTGCCTGGTAATTGGTGGGCGTACTCACTAGGAGTCTCGTACGTCTCCTCGCCCACTACAGCTACCAGTTCAACCACTCATCGAAGCAGTACCCACCTACCCAGGGATGCCGAAAAATAAATTGGTGCTGCAATTATTGCAATAAGAAAGCACCAATTATCTATTGGAGACTTTCTGGAGAGGAAGATCAACTATTTATTTTCGCTCCCGTTGTAGCACCAATAATCTATTGGGCGGTGTTTAATTGGCCATACATTCTTTGATACTGGTGCCCTCGCTGTGTACCAATTTTGCTGCACCAATAATCTATTTTTGAGCTGCAGGAAAAAATCAATTCTTCAGCTTGCATCGGTAATAAATAACATTACTCTTCCGCCGTCAACCTTTCACTACTATACATGAAGCGAGATCTTCGGTGATCAGTCTCACTGCACCGCACACTGGTTAGATCGACCTTCATCGTCAACTTCAGGGCGAAGACGGCGTGCCTCGGCTAGGAGCAACTTAGCTCGACGTCTACGACGCCACCACAGTTGCAAGAGTATAACGGCCTTGTGGTCAATGCGTTCCTGCTCCTCCAGTGGCACAGAGCCCGGACCATAAACTGTGAGGAGCCCCACTCCACTTGGGTCGAACTCGCGTGGTTTCCGCACGATCAACTTGGTCATCGTACGCTCTTCAGCAGCGTCGAAAGCATCCACTTCCTCGATCACTGCACGCTGGAAAGCAGCCAGATCCTCTTCGAAAGCTCTGCGTCGACTTTCAGGTACAAATGGAGTCAAGATAGCGCCCAATATCCCCGTCGCTCCCGCTACAATCTCGTAGCTGGCACTGATCGTGTTCATCGCCAATGATCGGACACCGAGATATGCGCCACTAATGAGTTCAAGAGGGCTACCGGAGGCCAAGCCACGCGCAGGTAAACGAACGAGCTCCACCACACCATGTCCCAATCGATAGACAATACGGAACGGATTCGCGTACACAGACACCGTGTGTAAGCCTCTGAGAACGAGAATCACGGCCTGCTGAGAGTATCGTCGCGTTACTTTCTCCACCACACTGGCTTGAGGTTCGTAAAGGTGCGTGAACGAAAGCTTGGTCAAGTACAGCCTGAAGTCCTTCACGTTAGACTCGGGGAGGTAAACAGCCAACCGTCGACCGGAAGGACCCAGGGTCTTAATGTATCGTCCGCCGTGGAGTTCCATGGTAAACTTGATGCGGATCGCTTCAATCGACAGCTCTTCGATGTAAACGCCGCTGGGTTCAGCTCCTGTTGCACTTGTGGCAGCTCCACCGACACCACTTCGCTCGTCCGAGCCCACAGAAGGTGCGATAGCACTGTTAGGAACACCTGCGTAGTCAAGCTGTGTGTTGAGAATTTCTTCGAAGGTGTGGTGGCTCGTAAGTCCCTCCAAGCCTTGAAAAACGCTGATCAGATTAACGACAAATTTCTCGTCTGTCGACACCTCCAGCTCTTGCATAATCAGTTCAATAAGCTCGTAGTGCGTGAACTCACCCGCGTGGCAGCTTGAGTTCCACAGTATCCGGAACTGAATGACACTCAAGCTGTTGGTGTCTAACTCCTCGAAGATACCACGATATCGGTAGTTCATGAAGCTCCTCCAGCGATCACGCAGTCGCACCGACACTCCTTCCTTCACTTGATGCACTTTTGGGCCCAAAACCACTTCACGTTCCATCTGGTTGTCCATCTGCAAGTTGCCAAGTGAAAACACCACCTCGCTGCTGCCACCCGCACATGAATACAGCAAACCAAGACGCTGCATGGAAACATACGCCACTTCCACCATGCTGGAGTTCGCGTTGTGAAGAAACGACAGACCGATGCTCGGGATAATCGCACTCATGTTGTAAATGCCCGTCGGTTGGATATGTTCTCGCACCGATGTGCGGAACTTCAGCGCCACGAGCACTTCGCCCACCAAATCGCCACTTTCTGGCTCTCGCATTTCCCACCAGTGGCCTTCTACTCGTCCAAGAGATCGGCGCGCTTGCTCTGCTGTGTTGTATGACAGAGCAATAGACCGCTTTGCCCCCACACCCATTCGCGTCCAGGCTTTCTTCGGGATCTTGATCTCCACAGTGCCAGCCGCGCCGTACTCACGCTCCATTTTACGATGATCAGAGTCATCGGACTGCTCTGAGGAGGCGTACGAATCGCTCACTCGCTCGATGTCGCTCAGCTGGATTAGTCCCTCTGCATTCGAGGGATCGCTATCGTTACGATAGAACGCCTGGTTCCGAGACAACGTACTGTCCGAGATGTTACCTGACACGGGGGGGCGACCTCGTTGGACAGGAGGCGTGTGCATCATCTCAAACGACGTGGAGTCCTCTCCTGTCCGAGGACTCCCAGAATCGTCATACTCCAGCGCAAGCTCTGCAGAGCTTTCTCTACGCCTATTGGTGCGATTGCTGTTGAAGTAGCTTTCATCATCGATACCTATAGAGGACATGTCGCGAAGTATTCCCTCTCGGTCTCCTGGACTCTCGTAGAAGTTTAGCGTCAGCTTTTTGGGTCGAGAATCACACGCGAACTCGAGATCCGAGTCGAATCGGTACACGTGCGCAGTCTTGAGCTCCTTCGATTCCGTCGCTCTTGCCTGCACATGGTAGGGTAGCAAATCAGCATCCGAACATCACAATGCCATCAGGCAACTCGCTCACTTACAGCGTGGTTGTCCGTTTCTGCAATCAGCTCTGCAGTTGAATCTGGCTTGAGAGAAAACTCGTTTCGAAGTCTTGCCGCGATAATCTTCACTTCCAGAATGTAACTGGGCGGTTTGTCCTTGTCGTGGTCGCGGAAAACCAGCACGCGTGATGCTCGGTCCATAACAATATCCCCAGTGATAGTTTTTGATTTGCTGCCAAACATTCGGTAGCGCAGGGCGTCGATATTACGTTCTCGGTCCAAGTTCGCAAAGTCATAAACTCCGTAGTTCCGAGAGGCCATTTTGACGCGACCCACGATGCTCCCCGTTCGACAAGCCACTCGCCTAAGCAAAAGTACAAATCCATCGGTTAGAACTATTCAGCACAACACAAAAGTTTCCCTGGCACTTACCAAGGTCCATCGGGTTTCACCCACGCGAAGGGAACAAACTCGCGGCTACGAATCACCACGGTTTCTTCGGAGCAATGAACTTGGCTCACATAGACGTCCGAACTGGACTCGTTGCGGATCATGTACATCGGTGGATCATCTCGTAGCAGCGTGACAACCATACTTGGCCCCATGTTGCTGATCCGGATCTTGATACGGTGCATTTCCGCGGCGCTACGTCGGAATCCCTCGAGCTGATATAAATGACTGCTTCCACCTCGCCACGACTCCATCACTGACCCCTTTAGTTTGAGCGAAAACTCGTTTTCCTCGTCCACAACAAATGGGCCGCTCCACTCTGCTCCGAGGTGGTCCATTCGCAAGTACACTCGTCGATTCGCTAAGCTCGTCGTGGCATCAAAATCGAAGTGGTGTGTGGCTGGAATTCCTTTCTTCGACATGGCAGGCAGTTCCACAACTCGGTCACTTGTCCTCATGTACTGCGATACTTTGAATGCGGCATGAGTCTTGTTTACAAACACAAAATGCGACGTCACGATGACTTGTGTCGTGCGGTGGAACTGACCCAGTGGTCGCTGGATGGATATACCAAGTTCATTGCGGGTTCTCGGACCCAATTTGCTGCCAAACTTGAGACTGATAGGTTCCTGGACACCCACCACGGTTGAATGAATCTTGTCCGACCAGCGTGAGACCTCTGTGTCAATAATGGTACCAATCTCGAAGGCCTGACCTGGACAATCCATTAACCGTGGCACAGGTCGCTGAGGAACCAATTGAGGCACCACCAAAGCAGTCGCATCCGGGTTATCGGCACAACGAAACAGCAGAGTCTGCACATGCGACTGGTTATACACCCACAACGAACAGTACAACACGATGCGAGGACTTCCGACGTCTGCTGCTGTATAGTCGATGCGAGTGACGACCTTGTTTGAGGCGATATCGCCTTCCTTGAACGCCATGCCAGGACTTTGAGGAGACGGGAGGAACTCCACGAGTGGGTCCCATGCACCGATAGCTCCGAGCATCGACTTAATCGACTTGCCCATGCCTTCTCGATAGATACAGTCTCCGAGATTAATGGGGCGGCTCCAGATTGAGTCCATCTCAGGTAACCGCAGCATCAATCGTGCGTCCAACTGGAAATCGTGGATAGGAACTTCTTCGCCAGGTGAAAGCGTGCCGGTTCGGACCACTTCCTCCAATAATCCACTGGCCACGATCTTGTACTGCACTCGAATCGGGAGAGTATTCTCAAAGATTAGACACGAGTGCAGTGATATCTGGTACTTGGTCGCGTACGTCTGCAACTCGCCGTCTTGGCTCGCATTTCCACGGGTAATCATGCCCTGGTGTTCTTCCCGATACACCTTACGCATGTGCGACGTAATGTTTACATACAGACAATAACCTAAGCCTTCTGGGTCTTCGGCTTCTAGTGTCAGGATCGTGGAGCCTGCTGCTAGTTTGTTCAGATCTGCCACAACAGTAGGTCTACACCCATCCACCTTCACAACGATCGAGTCCTTTTCTTCACCGAACATTGCGCTAATCGGGACCGACATCTTGTTGCTCGTAGTCAGCGTCATCGATTTGCCTGTTCTCGGTAAGGCACCACTCTAGTCATACAGCGTCAGTTAGTTTTCGGTCTACCCAGTGTATGGAGCCGTCGGTCGGCTTACCTCGCCAGGTGCTAAGCGCGTTCGGCAAGTCCACAGCTCCATATCAATACTGGTGTCTGAGCACATACAAAAACACACAAAGAATCTGTCAGCACGAGGTAGCGACATATTATCCACTAGCTCTTCGAGAAACAAACCATTCTTCAGCTGAACAGGTGAGCTTAGAAGCAGGACGCGACGAGACTCGTCTCTCTGTGCCACCTTGACTTCTGCTAGCACTTTTTCGCCTTGAATGAGGAACTTTCCAGCGCGACGGAGTGGGCACATCAAGCTCATTCGCGATGAGCCAATAATGACTTCCAGAGCCAACGGGGGGATATAACTCCCGCGCAGGCCATCCGAGAGCATGACGTGGTCTTTGCATTGACCTTCAGGGCCATTTGTATTCGCCGTAACGATTTTCAGCGGATCAAACACCAAGAATTGGCCGTCTTTCACTTGCTGAGGCTCATTGATCCTGCTGTGGTGCACGGAGTTGCTCGCATCTGGTACAAAGTGCAGACCGACAAAGATCTCACCCGTGACATTGCCGCGCAAATCATGAAGGCGGTACCATCGGTTTAACTTCATCCGATTGGGGTCGAGAGACGCCATGACATTGCCAGCCAGGTTAACCTCTGCCGATCCCACCGACGACCACCTCGTCCGTTGGGAGGTGGTTGTGTTCGTGCTGTCTCCTCGGTTCACACATTGCTGCGTATTAGGCGGCGTGATTCGCTGTGCAGCAGGCACGTCGAAGAAATCGTCATCGTCGTCTTCTTCGACTTCCACGTACTTGTTCGTGACGTGATCAAACACATAGTTACGTTTGCCTTCGTCCGTTGTCAGCACGTCGATCCTCAGAATTGGCGTGACGCCTGACTGGGCTCCACCGTACGCAAGCGAAAACTTGTGGCGAAAATTCTCCACGGGCTGCATCTCGCGCGGATGCCACCACGGCAACAAAACCACAGAGACTCGAACGTTGTGGAATCGTGCGTACCCTGGGAAGGACCAGCCGTCCCTGACGTCAACATGAAGTGTGCCTGCGTGGGACGTGTTGAGGTTGGCTAGCCGGATAGGAACGCCGAGATTGTTCAGCACGCACACACGACCGTCCTCCTTTTTGGCTTCTCCATCAGCTGCCACAGCAGCCAGAGTCCGCTTCTCTACAATAAAGTCTTGCTTTCGACGGTTCTTTGCGATGCTGGACAGCAATCGGATCAGCGAGTCTGTGCAGTTCACATTGAGACGTTGCAGTGCACTCAGCTGCATAGTCGTTCCGCCCTCGCCGCCATCACTTCGTGCCTTCGCGTACGCTCGCCAAGGCTCGATGAAGGGCTCCCAGTCTGCCAAAGAAGTGTTGTAGTAACGAGCTGATATTTCCACGCTAGCATCCACTGCGTGGTCCGTCGAAAGCTCCGTTCGCGTCATGCACTGCATCTTCATATCACTGACAGAGAAATTCATCACGGGGATGTAGGTGTCCAAGGATACGACGGACAAGCTTCTCTTGATCACCTCGAAGACCACTGAGTAGCACGTGATGGATAACCGGTCGTGAATTCTTCCCATCCGCAGTCGCGTACGGAAGATACTCCTTGCTGAGATCTGACGCTCTAAAGACTCGCTCTTAATTCCAACAAGCATCTGGTAGTTCAGCAACGGGATGAAGGCAGAGACCTTTGCCTTTCGCTTGGATCGCTCCTGGCTCGTGTCCTGCAGTCCGTAGTTTAGTCCAGCAGAAGTCGCAGTGGACATTCGACTACGTCCAGACGGAGATGCGTACGGGCGACCAAACCCCGTTGCATACATAGGCCGCAGATCGATCGAATCCTGGTCCTGGAGATTGAACTGCATGGACGAGAATCGCTCCGTTTGGGAAATCTGCTCGCCTGCAAGGAAACTGACATCATAGTCTCTTCTCTCAAAGCCATCGCTGTCCATGGCCTTTTCTTCGTTAGCACTGTCAAACTCAGCGTCCCCCTCAGCCTCAGCAGAGACTTCGCTGTGTGTCAGCGCCTCCAACAACGCGAAAAGCAGCTCCAACCTTCGATCTGCTTCGAGTTTGACCTGCCCGATTGAAATACTTACAGAACGATGACACACAGGCTTCTTCGCTGACTCTTCGGCACACAGATCGCATCCACCCATAGGTGCGTCCGTCTGTCGATGTAGTCGGAGATCATAGCTAAGCCAGAATTTGTCCACTTGCACCAGCCGAAGCGCGACGTCTTCAGCAAGCACAAACAATGCAGTAGGCCCAAGATGCAGCTTGAAGTTTTCTACCCCGGGGTCCGCACGGTATGAGCATGAGCTGTCCTCGATCGTCAGCTTCGCTACACAGTGAGAATCTTCAAGGTACGCCTCCAGGATTGGAGCACGAATCTGAATTCCAAGCTCAGGCACCTCCTTCCAAGGAGTAGCGCTCGCTGGCTCAGATGCATAGCCCCTATCTCCTCCACTCTCTGTAACGTCGCTGTCAGAAGCCCAAAGCACATCCAAAACGTCGATTATGTCGAATAAGACTTGCATCAAAGTGAGTGGCATCACCCAGCCCGATATCGTGAGGTCTGCGTGGAGTCCGCTTTGTAGTACGAAGCAACTTGGTGCAGCACGCGCTCCACGGTACGACATGCGCAGAACCAAAAAAGGACCTTTGTTCAGATGGTCCGCTCGCATCTTTCCAGGGGTCAACTCACCATTTTTCAGACTCAAAAACTTGTCGCCGACGTGCAGCACACCGTACTCCGAAGATTGGCGATGATCTAATACGGAGAAGTCTTTCAAACCCAGATACAAGGCGAACGCGGAGCGGTCAGGCTCCGAGACGCGATGTACATCGACCACGAATGTCACGTGGGTCACACTCAGCGAGAACCACGATGACTGCTCCTTCTTCAGCGTCGCAGTCGGTCGATAGATGCTAGAAAACCCTCCGAGTAGAAGTTCGTCCAAAGCCACTCCTTTTCGCTGCTCTAAATTGCGAAATGGCGTGTCCTCGTCTTCTAAAGGGTACGTATCTTCTTCAATGGCCGAGTCATATAACGCTTCCTCCACCTCAACGTCGTCACTATTGGATCTCTTCGCCGCCCTCCTTGCACTGCTTTCAATACTCTGCTTCCACTTCTTCAACTCCACCCGGCTGTCTGAGCTCAGCACTTTTCGAAGAGCTCCAGATCGAGTCGTAACTTCTAGAACCTCGCACAATTTGCCCTTCCGAGACTTCCACGGCCCTCCAGTAGCATTAGGTAGCATAATAACCTTGCAGCCCAGCAGACTAAACTCATCCAGCACATCTGCACCCGAGCCGTTACTGTGCATGGAGAAGTTGCCGTCGTCGTCAAGATGGCACCACGAACGCCGCCAGCGTCGGAAAGCAAGCGAGTCGTCTCTGGTGTACAGCCAGCCCATCATCTCGCTCCCTTCGTAGTATACCCAGCGGTTCCTCGCTAGCGCCAAGCGCACCATTTTCCGTTTACGCACGATAGCTCCTCGAATAAAGCGCTGCATTACTACGATGGCATGCGCAGCCCTTGCCCAATCAGGAATAGCTGGAGCCCCGCTAGGTTCATCGCCAACAAGCTGTTTCAACAGCGCACGATAGGATGGTTCGTTGGAGATCGCCACGGGTGCAGCAGGTGCTTCGGGGGCACTGACAAACAAACGCAGCAGATCAACCTTGACTTCATACGAGTAGCTGTTGACTCTTGCAGGTTCGCCCAGGGCACTATTTGAGGGGCTAGTCGATGCGTACGATGACACAAGCTGAGAAGTCATTGACGGCGGTACTGCAGATAAATTGACATCCACCCGAGAGACGCTGGATGGGGGTATTCCATCGGTGTGGTTGCTCGAGATAGCGCTAAGCCAGTCGCGCCATTCACCAAGTAGTGCAGTCATTTTAGGTTCGTCGAAAACGGCAATAGAGTTACCGATAGCCAATGAAATCTTCGATCCATACGTATCAACTTTACCGAGACGAGCGTGCGGGTGCGCTTCGTAGAGATGATTCATAGTAAATCGAAGCGCAGAGCTCTGGTCGATTTCATCAATAAACCCATCCACAGGTTTACAGATACTGGAAGAAATACAATGATTGCCTTTGTCGGCTTCTCGTGACATGCTCTGAACGTAAAAGTCATCAACCTTGATGTCGTAAAAGTGGTACGAGAACAACCTCGGCCCAAACCCAGTGATCGAAACCGCAGGGTGATCCAGCATCACTTCCGCGATCACTCGCTTCTGGAAAGCTCGAACAAGACAGAACTTCAGTTGGTCCGAGGTAAATGACACCTTGGCGACAGCGCGGGATGGAGTCACCTCGAGCGGCGTCACGGAAGGGTGACGAAATGTTAGCACCTTCGTTCCGGGCATGGAGTCGATTGCTAACTGTACATCGAAACCGGACTTGAATTTGAAGACCGATCGAAGCGGTTGATCATCCACTTTGACCAGCAGCAATCCCGGCCTCACACTTTCTTTCACCGCAGCGGGACTCTTCTCGGCGCAGCGCTTGATCGCCACATCACCTGACGCCAGTATATCGAACAGGAGCCCTGTCGGTCCTTCAGGAAATGGCACGCTGATCTCTGGGAGCGGTATGCCCATAGCATCGCCAAGACCATACAATGCACTCGGGTACGGTACTATCCTTTCTGCGCCTGCGATATCATCTAGTCCGAGTCGATTCCGTATCGACACCACCACTTCATACGGCAGCTGCTGTTCTATCCTCGTGGCGTTATGCCATGCCTCGCTCTTCTTCAGCGCATCCATCCCTTCGCTTTTCATCGCTATCACCTGCTTCCACAGCAGAAAATAATTCTCCGCCAGCTCGGCCAACTTGGCCTCGTTACTCGCGATATGTCGCTCCGACGCCCTCACCTGTTCTGCTACCATAACTCTCCACTTTTCATGCCCAGAGAATGAGTCGATAATCAGCTTCAGTACTGACAATTGCTCCTCATCCAGTGTCATCCATATCCTCGACAAGTGAAACACCGCATTATAGCGCGGGTCTTCCGTCTGCGCATGTTGCGCCGCTGTGTTCATCGTCAGCTTCAGCGCCACATTAATCGGCGCCACCAAGAACCTATGTGCATGCGCGCTTTCCTCTGTATTCCACCAGTCTGCCTTGGCCGATCTCGACCCCATCTCCTTTAACCTCGACAGCGTCGACTGCAGCACCTTCGGATGGACTCTGGAGTGGATAAAATGCAGCGCATTCGGGTCCACATACGCCGACAGATCAATGGCATTGATCAACTTGAACACCAAATGATTTTTCTCCTGTGCAGCGTCCTGTTTCTGATCGTCAAAGCCTCCAACTCGCCAATTACTAGGCGTCGTGACCGCTGAGAGCGCCCCTAGCGTGAATCCTGCTGCGAATTTTACCCCATCCGTCCTATTCTTTTCCTTATTACTGGTCCTTGATGTCGGAGGACTCCTCATGGGCCCTGTTGGGAGCCACACTCCCTCTACTCGTATGTGTAAGTTCCTAATATCGACCTGCAGGTTGTCAATAAGTTTGGTCATGGTGCGTCCTATCCAGCCGTCAGTACCAAAGTATCCTTCACTCTCATGAGGTACAGTGTATTCGGGTACTTGCGGTCCGTTCCAGCGGTCCTGCAGGTCCTGCTCAAGTTTGCTAATCTTTAGGTCCACCAGAGCCGAAATCTCGTCCTGTAGCTCTTCTTCATCATGCTTAAGGGGTTCAAGGACCAGTAGGACGTCCTGGAACTTGATCTTGGCTGATGCACTTCCGAAAATGGCGGAGATGGGCAAGTCTGCTTCGAATAACCCGATAAAGCCCGTCTTGAGCCTAAAAGGCAGCCAACTAGGCACGACACTGGACCTGAGTGTCAGATTCTCGAGCTTGAGCCGTTCCGACGACTGCCACAGCTTAGCCGACACGTTCACCGTCTGGCTCTCCACATACTGGCCCAGGAAGTACACGATCCAGGACTTGAGCGCGCCCTCCAGCATAGTGGTAGAATAAATAACTACTGTAAACAGAGCTGGCTTTTCGATAAGTGAAAACACGCAATTGGACGAAAAGGAACAGTAGCTGACAGGAGTTGACCAATGGCAGAACATCAGCTGACAGACGAGACGAAATGTGTTAAAACCCTGGTAAAACTGATAACGTGGGTAAACTGTAGCATGTCACACATTTGTTGCCAAGATGTCGGTTACTGTTCGGACATATAGTAGCATCTACCGGTACATGAATTAGTTAACGTTAATACCGACTCAGTGCAGATGCTAAGCACAAAAATGAACTCTCCAACCGAATAAAATCTCACTAGCAGGACAGCGAAAAATGCGCCACTGGAATTTCTGGTGGCTGTAGTGCAATGTCGACCCAGTCTTTCATCCTCGCTGCGTCCGCGGCTGTACGATCCGATGGTGCATGGCGTCGACGTGGCTGATGGTAGTAATTGATGCACTTGGTGAGCTCCATTCGCCAGGGCCGTGGCCACCGCTGAACTCGTAGCGCACACGCACCACGTAGCTTTTCGAATAGTCGAGACCAAAGATCGTCGTGACGAGCTCGCGTTCGTTCTCACTTGATCGTCGAGGCCGGCCGGACCAGTTCTTCCATACCTTCATCGTCCAGTCTCGAGAGAACTGTAAATGGTACGATGTCGCGTTGGAATGCACACGCCAACGCACGTGGATCGCCGCCTGGATCAAAGAAATTGAACAGCACTGAGTTGGTCATTTCCACGAAGCAATAATAATCAATGGCAAACATACCTTTGATGGCGACTCGAGAAAAATCTCTGTACGCGGCGATGCCGGTACAATGCCCATACGAAGCTCCAATCTACCTCCGTCAAAGCCGTCGCCACGACGAAAAGGTCGTAAGAACGCTGCTAGCCGCGATGACTGCCGACCTGATGTCAATTCAGCGTCTGTAAACTCTGTAATTACCGAGCTGTTTTCAGTTGATCGCGCACTATCAGCGTCGCCAAAACTCTCGGACATGACTGCATCTTGACTGTCTGAGTCGTCTCGATCCTCTTCCAACCCCGGGCGCTCGGGAAACATGAAAGGCCCTGCTGCGATTGGCATTCGCAGATCACTGTCCATACTACTGGTACTGGACCGTCTGGACGACACCTCCTGCTGGTCATCTGACACCGACCATGCTCGTCGAACACCCCGCAGTGTATATCTAGTACGGAACCGCAAGCGGATTGGTCTTGGCGCGATCTTGAGGATACGGAGCACATCCTGGAACTCCAAGTTAGCGATGCTTTCTCCATTCACCGACTGCAGCACGTCGCCCTCCTGTAAGACAAGCAACAAGATCCGAACGTTAGCTTTATTTCGTTCGTCATCTTCCGCCTGCAATGCCGTCACGTACGCGGATCTGATGTGAGACTTGACCGACGCTGAAAATTGTGGACTTGACGATGGTCACAGGGATTCTGTTGCCGGATGGGTCCACTTGCTCTTGGCTCTTGAGTGTCAATCCCAACTTGTCCTCCGTGAATACCACCTACAGGAAGACAACAGTTGTCAATATACGACCTTTCGTCTTCAACTTGCAGGATCTCCAGCTCTAAATCATAGATTTGGTTATAGCTAGACTAAGTCGAACCTCGTAGTCCTCGTAGGACTGATCAGGACTCAAATGCCAGCATCGAGGCACCGCTGCGTTGGGGGCTGGGTAGCTGCTGACTGCGCTGCTATTGCTACACGCCGAGACGCTGAGGCTGCTGCTACTCGAGCTGCGATGTCGATGGCGCATGGACAGAGACGAGCGACGGGACTGCGGGCCCACCAAGTCCTGCGAGAAGCGAATCGTCACCGGTTCCTCCCAGAAGAGACTTTGTCTGGCTTCTTACAGACTTTCTTTCGTCATTAATTCGTACCTACAGTAGAAAAAAAATGTACGGATAAAATCTGGCCCATCCGGATGATGTGTCCTTTTGATTCTCTATCGAAGATGGACAGAAGAAGCATAATTTGACCACTTTTGGCTTAATATTAATACAGCCTAGTACATGTACCGTAGATTGCTTTCCAGCAACTCAGTTTGTGGTGCACTGCGTAGAGAGCCAAGCAATTCCGGTGACCCTTTTTTCCTGGCTACAATTATTTGGCATGGAGTTGCCTGTTCCTACAGCCACCTCACTTTTTACACTGCAACAACCAGGCGAGTTCAAAAGCACAATGATTTTTATCGTATCCGTGATTCTGCTGGTTCTGTCGTTTGTGGGTGCTCACGACTGCTTTGACACCGACAGAGCCAAGATTGACAACCAGAGCGCGTCCTACATGTTCGTAACGGATCATGTGAAAATTATGGAGCAGGATATCCCGGACGCGGTGGCCATGCGATCGGAGCGGAATACACATTCAAGATGTTGGAGAACGAGGTGGAAGCTGGTACGGTCGTTTGTGGGACGGTAGACGCCGATACGTATACAAACACGAACTGGCGGAAACGAATCTTCGTGAACGCTGGCGAGACAGTGAGTTTCGCGTACTGGCCCAATGGATATATCGTCAAGGACAAGAAGGTCATCGGAGCGCAGCACGGGATTTATTGGACAGGGGACGTAGGCACGTCGCTCACGTCGACGTCAGAGATGACAGACGAAAACTTGATCAATGGACATACAATGGACTATGACGATGAGAATTGTGGCGACACGTACGACTACGAAGGGAAGCCCAGTGGTCGAGCAGGGGATGGATGGCCTTGTATCGGAGCGAGGATTCGTACGTAGTACGTACGATAGATCTCGCGGGTATTTGGGAGCAGCGTACTCGACGTGCTTTGAGATGCAGGTGTGGAAGTATCATCAGCACTGCATCATTGGTAAGCACAAGGGCCGCAACGACAAACACGACGAAGATTTACAAATCCGGTATCACAGAACCATTCTCGAGACTGAAAACTGGCAATGAAAGTCTGGCGGTTGTGCATGCGGCGAATTGAAGCCGTGGCTTGGAAGAATTCACCGAAATGCATTTCGATAACCTCGCTGAAGGCTCAGACGAAAGCGGTGAATCAAATTCTTCGAGCCACGATGTACCGTACGGACTCTGACGGACAACTGGGTGAGTTGGAAATATGTTTGGCTCAGCGGGGAACACCCAGGAGCTCACGCGGTCTAGGCATTGTGACAGCCCTACTGATGATTGCTTTTTAGTAGGCGGGCCTCCCAGAAATGGTAGTGTATTTTTTTGCGTGTTTACTGTGTTTGAATACAGCGTGTGAGAGCATCTGCCTTCAAGGTACATTGTCTCCTTATCTCCTTGTCTCATCCTCTGTCTATACTTCTAAGAAACGTGCTATCGGTCGACAATTCAGCACTCTGAAACCGGAATTCGAAAGCGATATCCACCGCGTTTCTTCAGTCTCGCCTTTGCGAAGAAGATGACGGTCGGTCTGTGGGTCATAGCGAACAACCACCGCCTCCGTTTCCACCTCCAACCCCACATTAGATCGCTTTACAGCTGACACGAGCGGATCACCGAAGTGCCGGTTGTTAAAGAGTCGAACGCGACATCCGCACATCAGCTCGTCGCCCCAACACACGTGCTGACCTGCATCAAAGTAGCGAATTCGTTGATTTGGATGAAGTACCTGTTGGTCCTTTTCAGTCTTACTTCCATCACGCCCTGTATCTCGACTACTAGTAAGACTGTCTGGATCTCCTTCGCTGCTAGTGTAGATACCTTTGCCCTGCTTCTCGTCACGAATAAAACTACCTTTCCATGATTCACCCGAAGCCCAATAGTACGTGCCGTTACCATGCATGAAACCATCTTTCCAGTTGCCAACATACCGAATCACTCGTTTGATATCGGCAGTCCGCCCTACCGTTGTGGTGTATTTTTCTTCGGGCACCCACAGCGTTCCATACCCATGAGGAATCGTCACCCCATTCTCCGTGACGCCATCGCCGTCGTATTTGCGGCCGTCTTCATAGCGTTTTACAATTTGTCTTGCCCCCCATGCTGTAAATTCGTCTTGTTCCTGTTGCGCTCTCTCACGCGCAGCTTGGGCGTCTAAAATACTCACGACTTTGGCCTTTTCACTGCGAATAAACTCCCTCTTTGCCTGTCGAAATGCTGCTCGTTCCTCAACGAATCGACGTTCAAACACTCTCCACCCAGGGTCACCACCGTCTTCATTTCCTCGATCGTGCTGCTCAATTAGAAGCATTGCCGCAGACTCTTGACCGCTGGCCATCAACAACGCCCCCGCTACTGCCATCTCGGATAACCCGCTACCATCAAATAAAGACCGATCACCTTTCGTCCGTACTCGATCGATCGTCACTTGTTTGTACGGGTATTCAGGCCATTGTAAACGTGAACCCTCGTGAGCATGGAGAGCCCGTAGGGGGTCGAATGCAAATTCTAGTGACCCAGGAGGGTCGATCACCGACTTGTACATGCTACGACTGAGCAACACTTCTCACTTGGCCGTACAATAAGGACGTGGCTCGGGTCCGTTTCTCGACGCTACAAATAGTGCGGCGTCTAATGAATGGGGATGACAAGTTGCTGTACTTACTCTTTTCTTTGGTTGATCACAGCTGAAAAATCAACTCGAAGTCATGGATCCAGCAGAATACCCTTGGAGTAACCAAAACGATCTGGTTTCCAGCTTAGATCTGTTAGAGGAGGAAGTTCTTCGTGACCCAAGCAAACATGGGCCGCAGTGGAATCGAGATACGCACCTCCTCGTGGAAGGAGAATCCGCAGCTACAGTCCCAAGGTTCGGCTGAGTAAAAGCTCAAGTCTAGCTTACATTCTCACTTCTTAAATGCTGCTAACGCAGAGAAGTGACGAGGATATCTCCACGAAAGCCTCAAGTGGTGTTAAAGACTTCAACTCGACGCAGACTGGGTAAGAGCCGTCGCAGAGACCGGAGCACGAATAATGCAGAGGAACAAGAAGCACCGAGAAGACAGTTGCAGGTAAAGCTTTAGTTACTCCTTCGGCTCGAAGGGCTGATACTTTATGTTATTAGCTTGAGAATGAGCGACTTCAACATGAGGTGGCACATTGGCAGCGTGAGGTGGCACATGCCCGAGACGAAAAACACGAACTAGAAGTCTCATTTCGACGGCTAGATCAAGAGATTGGTAATGGATACCACCTTGCGGAGCGCAAGGAGAAGGAGCTTCGTATCGCGGAACTTGTGACGAAGAATCAGAAGGTGCGCAACGGAGCAGTCTACGCTTACTTGCAACAGTGCTAACATCCAATCCATCCATGCGCGCTTAGATGTCGCTGCTACTGGAAAAGGAGCTTCAAGGTCAGGAAGAACTTCGTCGAGTGCATAGAGAACTACAAGGCGAGCACCGAAAGATGACGGAGCAAGTGACACTGCTCAACCAGGTTCTTGACAGTGTCGAAACTAAACATACACAGCTGTCCAGCTCCCATGACACACTCACCGCAAGCTACGAGGCAGCTCAAAACACAATCGAGACGCTGCAACGTGAGATTCACGTCCTGCAAGACAAAGTAGCCACCTCCGACGCCCACATACAGGTTATTACTGAGTATGAAAGCAAGATTCAACAGTGGGAGCGCACTTGTCGTGAGCTGGAGCGAAAGTGCGAGCATAACACTCAAAAACTTAAACAGACTCAGAGAATTGCGAGTACAACTCAGCAAGAAGCCCAACGAGCTCTCGATCGCCAAGAAGAGTTGGAGCAGGAGCTGCGCAACGCACACGACCAAGTGATTCAAGCCAACGCTGCCGTGAGGACGATGGAAGCCAAGCTGGAGGCGAATCTGAAAGCCGGCGGCAGTCAGGAATTGGTACGAGTATAATTGAAATTGGGGGGGGGGATAAAGACTGATAAAGTGACCTTGATGTAGCTTCGCCAGCGGATCCGCCAATTGGAGGGGGAGCTGCAGCAAAAGTACCGAGCCAACTCAGAGCTCATGCAGACTTGTAACCAGCTACTTAGTTCACAAAAGCGACCTGGTTCTGGCAAGACACCTCGTACAACCAGAAACAGCCACGCAATCGGATCCCAAGTGGCCAGATTGACCACGAGAATCACCTCACTGACAGATAAACTGTCTTCTGCGGAAGAAGCTTGGTGAGAACCAATTCCTATCAAGACTGACACTCCATCGTCTAACGTTTCTCTACTAAGCAATCGAAAGGGCCGCAGCTTAGACATCCTCATGCAGGCATTCCCCTTCTTGTTGCGCAAATTGGACGCGATGCAGGACCAGCTGGCTGCTGCAGTTGAATCCAATGACATTATTCAGCGTGCTTTAGAAGAAGTGCACGGTCAATCCAATGCTGGCTTCGCTAACAATGACACCCGATTGAGCGGCTCTATGTATCTCCACTTAGCACGGGACAAATACGTGCTCGAAGCCCCGTATCCACTTGAATTGCTCACTTATCAAACTGGAGCTCAAGTGTTAAGAGGAAATTTAGAGTCGACAACCAGGGCAAAGACAAAGACGTTTTTGCCATTCAGAGTCAAGTTGAGCGCCTTACAATTGAAGGACAGTCAGCGCGAAGAAGAGAGTGAGAATCGGATGGATCAACTTGTCACGCTTTCTGCCGACTCGAGCGACACCAGTGGCGCTGCGTATCTAAATCGAAGTAAGATCAATGCGTTCTTAGAAGTGATCCAATGCAGCGCTGCGAGGAAGAAGTTCAAGACTCTCGTCATTGGGAAACTAGCTGAGACTCTGAATAAATTACGCAAACTCGCGCATCGCTCTGCTTCGGAGGCGGCAACACAGCAAGCGTCGATCCAAATGCTACAGCGTGAGATCGTAGAACTTCAGCACCGACTGAGAAACTCTCGAAGTGATGGCAACATCAACGGTCAGTGTGACGGAGTTGCTGCTAGGAAGGAGGCGTTTAAGACAAGCCAATTCCTCCTGAAAATGGTAGATGTGTACGCCGAGAAGCAGCTGGAAAGTGATCAGCGTCAAATGACTTTCGTAACTCAGCCGATGTTCAGCGATATGCTCATAACCAAGACACAAAACGAAAGCTATAGCTCATCTGGTGATCGCCTTTTGCTTTCAGAGAGCGACCTGAGCGATGAAGACGTGGGTCAGTTGTTGCTAAAGATTTTGGTGAGTGGAGTGAGGTTCCGCGAGATCAACCTTGATTCAAATAATATCTCGGATGCTGGAGCTCAACACGTGGCCGAATTCGTGGAGAAATCCCCTACAAGTGTTCGAGTTATGAGGCTTATTGGTAACAAACGTATAACACGTCGTGGAATTGATTTAATCAAGGGAGGTTTGATACGGAATCACCGTGTGCAGCGTGTGAGCGAGAACGAGCGTGCATCAGATGATTGTATTATTTTGCGCGGTCTTGCAATTGACCAGAGCTTTGATGAAAGCGGCAATGCCACGGAAGTTCTCCGAGTTATCTTACCAATAACTTCGGAAAATGAAGAACATGGGGCTGCGACGATGGAAACGACGCCGGAAGCGGTCGATGCCATGACGGAAAAGCTTCGCCAGCTCGGTTTCAGGTACAACATACGGCCCGCGTCAGCCCCTTCACGCCCACGATCCGCTCCGTACAACAGCTACAAGCGCATTGATCTCTATCCTCGGAGATCCTCAGCAATAAACTCCAGCAGAAGAGTGTCCGCTTTTACTAGCGCTAGTACTGATTTCAACCGGAGAGCTCGCGTTGCTAGCGATAGTGAAGCCAACATAAGAAGTAGCCCTGCTACTGGTACCAAAATCACTACCAATCGACGCCAGCATATTAAACAGCAGCAAGATCTCCGTTTTCAATCTCTGGAAGCTGCTATACAACGAGCCTCAGCGCCGCATCGACGCTCCCAAGGCAGCAGGCACCACATATCGACATCGTTGAACTCTCAAGTTCGCTCTGGAAAAATGAGTTATACTGGCAAAACGCACATCAATACGATACGAGGGTTGAGACGATAAGCAGCAGCTTCATTCGAGGGTTAAGTTTATTGCTGACTATTCTGTAGCTTCGCCAACACTTGGCGGCGAGGATTCGGTCGCCTATGAGACTCGACGTACTTTGCAACATTCGCAGATGTGTGCTGGTCGCGGGAGACAACATACACACTTCTTTTTGAAAGTACATGTAGCAAAAAGTCTAAGTACCCTAAGCTTGCAGCGTGCTAGTCGCTATATTTTTTGTGGCTTCATAATAGCAGTAAATAACGCCATGAAATATTCTGTTATTTTTCGGAAGTATTTGTTTCAAAGTCGAGGAATGCTAGTTTTTACGTCCTTAACCCCAACAAATTTTGTCCTTAACCGTCCGAAAATGAGACCACGCAGAACAAAATGATACTTACGAACCTAAGTACGAATCGCGATTTAAGCCTTTCTTTTGAGTCCTTATACATGTAAGCTACAGAATGCTTAAAACTGAAGAAGTTGTGGTCGCTCAAAAATAATATCTCCATTTATGGGCCCTCGAAATGACGATACATTTAGGAGTGCTGCAGAGCACACTGCGTGACTTATCCAGCTCCTGTTTTTAATCATACTAAATATTGCATCGTATTAATTAAAACGGGCTCCCGTGTGCTGTTGGATACAGAGGCCCTTTTGGAACAAATTTAGATGGTCATTTCTTAATTTTGAGCGGTATTACAATACCGTATCGATGCCTCACAATTTAATATGTTTTGTAAATGGGGGCTTATATAAAGGAAGTGTCTTCCCAAACAGCAAAAACTTACAATTTAATACGGTATTCTGTAGCAACATCAATTTTTCTAAATCAAGAGACAATACGTGCGGTCCAAACCGTTCATTTCAGATTCACCCTCCCCTTGATGAAGGGGTCGACAGCTAAGAAGAAGGGCAAGCGCATCCGTCGCGGCCCGAAAATTGATGACAGCTCTGACAGCACCAGCTTTTTCCTGCCTTTACCCAAGCTGCACGTGGTAGCCCCCCCCAACTCTACGAAGGAACCCCATAAAACAGAAAAAATGGTGACCTCCGATTGTCTGGGAAATATTGATGGCGTTACGGATCTGCTGCCCGAGGATTGCGCTACTTGCCCACACTTTAGTACACGTGGAAGGAGATGGAGGCCGTGTTTGCGAGGTACATTACTGTTTATAAAATGAATATGACGTTAATTTAAATTAAGCTACTATACATAGATACCTGCATAATATCTTTCAAAGGTACAGTCTCCGAACGCTATTAAACAACGCAAACTAACCAAGCTGCACGGCGGGGGGCCCAGCCCAGCATTTCGGACGAGTCGACAAGGTACTACACAAAGTCGTAGACGTGCACGCACACAGGGACGTTTACGTCTCAAACGACTGGTATGCGGACAAACCACACGAATCGACACATCGCTGTCTTCAAACGATCTGTTGCCAGAGGGAGTGGACGGGGTATTTCGTGTCGCCATGCGGAAGCACGAATCGACATACAGCCATGATATTGATGCAACGTGTTCAACACATCCGCTGAAGTATGTAACGCTACGTCTCCAGGAACATGGGCTGTGGCTCGGACGATGTGGTAGGGTGCATACATTGTCAGCTTTGTTACAAAATTTAACATATCCTGATTTCCTTGTTGGTTTTACATACAGTTGGTGCTAAAAATGGGCTCTGCGATACCTGAAAGATGTCCGTGGTAAACCCATTCTGCTGAAAGATGTTAGCAACATGATTGCCAAAATGCGGAGAGATTCACATACCTCTCCTGACGACGATGTACGGGTACAGGAGGCTCTACAAAACCTTAGTAAAGAGCCAGGATATGTGATGAACGTATTTCGCGACGTGATTACCAAATTGACGAGCTGTATAACTTTCCAGACGTCTCACATGAGACGGATGGCGCGCCTAGTTCCAGAAGTCATTGGCGTCGATGCTACGTATTCTACTCACATCAACTAACACCAACAGGTGAATAGTTGGTCGTTGCTCCGTATTAGTCCCGATTTATATGAATAGGTACGAGTTGGTATGAATTTATTTGTACTAATTTGTACGGGCTCGTATTAGTTGGTACTAACCTGGGACGGGGTCACTACCTTGGGCTTGAGATATTGGCTTCCGAAAACAAACAAACACTCAGTGAGCAGTAGTTCACAGGTCCCTTTTGTCCAAGGGAGCGAAGCGAAAACGGTGCTGTTTGGTGAGACGAGAAAATCGTCTCATCAAAACTTGTTTAATGACCCTTAATCAAGCAGCTTTATCCGCAACCTTTTTTTTAAAGTAAAACTGCGCTTAACTATGCTATTAAGCAGTACCCTTATGTAGAAGAAATTTTGAATTTGATGATCTCGCCAAACTTCAACAGGGTTGAGTGCGAAAGCCCGCGAAATCTCCGGCGCTTCGGGCTATTAATTTTCAAATAGGAAGCCCAAGTGAGAAGAACAAGCCGCGAGAAATCCCACGTACGCTCACATGCTACGCCTCTTCTCACGAGGCCTGCAATAGGAATTTAACTCAATGGTGTGACATGCTCGTGCGAAGACTTCGAAATGGACCCTAGTCACACTACGACAAAGAACAACAAGCAGAACGGCATGTGCAAGCTTCTTTCCTGTTTGAGTGTCACATGCTGCATACTATTTTCAAACCATGTATGTGAGTGCACCGGCAAACAGACCGCTTCATCTCTCGTCGAAGAAGCGCAAGTTTAGGCAGGATGCTAACTATGTGATCGACGGAGAAGCTGCCACCAAGAGATGCCGATCGTCGAAAGACCTGCTCTTGTACCGGCGCTGCGTTCTGCCCACTACTTACCCGGTCGCTCAGAGACAGCAACAGTATTGCAATCGGAGCCTCCGTCACCAGCGTCCATCGTATCTACGGGTACGTCTGCGACGTGGGCTCCACAACGGCCCACCAGGCGAGAAGTTTTACTCAGCCCAGCACCAATTAGAGTTTAGTCGTAGACTTAAAAGGCATCGTTATCTAGCATACTCTACGTTAAAAGACTTGTTATGTTTATCATCTTCTCATCAGTGCCGCGTTTCCGGACTGCCATCCAGTCTGAGTAGAGAGAGTCTATCAGGCAATGAAGAGTGACATAATGCGCAATTGAATTAGGCACTGCCTTTCGATGCGGCACATCTCCGCTTTCACTTACTTCATGAAATCTTGTAGAGCCACTTCCAATTTGCTGCGTGTCTGGGTCACCGGGCAAAGCGCTATAAGCAAGCATGACATAGCAACTAGCCATCGCCACTGACACAGACCAGAGAAAGCCGAAGCGAGTTGCTGTGAAGGGGGACCTGGCACCTCCATATCCTTGATTATAAAGAGTCTATACAGTTATTTTGTTCTCTTCAAATGTGTCCACATCCACGGTGATTACGAAACGTAGCATATTACCAACTTCAAGGTCGTTTTCATCGGGACAGACTAGAGTTTTATCTGTAGACGTTTTTGAAGTAGGCCTGTCAAGCACCCATTACCAGGCTAAATAGGCGATTAAAGAGAGAGAGCGCATGACCGGCACCCTACGGTGCTGTGTCGGCACACGAAACATGAGGCAGCACATCAATCACTGGTCAGCACCTGCGTCAGCACACAATAAATCGTTGGATTTGATCTTTGGCTTAGTTTTTGTCGAGCTACACAAGCGGAGATCCTCCCAACCAATTAACCAATCCGAATTGCTTCATGCGAAGACCTCTTGCCCAACATAAAAATCAATTTCGACCAACGAGCAATCGCTTCATAGAACCATGACCTTTTAATAAAATAACCAACCAGCACGCGCTGGTGACACTTGTCACATACACTGTTTTATGGAGTGTAAGACGCCGCATATTGCACCACGGTCCCCCGCGAGGAAAAATGCCGAGGCGCATACCTTGGCGAAAAACTACCCTCCACGTCAATGATGGCGACACTGACGTGGTGCTCGATAATCAAAAGACCTTTAATACCACCAAGAGCAACACTATAGCCTGCAGTATATGCGCCGACTCAGATCACAAAATGTGGTACAGGCTGCTGGAGTGCAGCTGTGGCGCGTGCGCTGAGGTCGGCGAGGCCATCTCTGTAAAATGTGTGTGGAGGGAAGGCTGTGACTTGCATGGAGGCAAAGACTGCGTGTGTTTACAAGTATGACGAACATCTCACAGCGACGGAGCCTCTTAAGCCTAAGAAGTTGGCCTTGACGCAGAAGGCATTCTGCCGAGAGCTTGCAGACCAGCATCTAAGACCAATGCGCATCCCACTGGCACTCTCGCGGAAGTTTAACACCTCGCTAGAGGACCTGCCGTCGCTTACGTGCATTCAGAGTTTTGGTAGTCACTATTCGAGAACCTATTTGGAGAACTACGACCGATTGAAGGGGTTGACGGCGTATATTCACTCCCACGCTTTCAACGGATCTGAGCAAATGGCCCAGCATTTTCGTTTGGCCGGAACTACGACAACGACAGACAATAAGTGGAAACGGATCGGACGAGAAGCCATTTATTATTGGCCTAACAACCCGACAGCTTTGTGCTGCATGTCGACGCATCGTATAAACCAACCACATAGACTACGGTCATTGTGGCCGGGATATCCATATCTCAGGAGAAACAGTACGTGTACAAAGCGGTCCTGATGTTTCTACGTCGTCTCCATTGTTGGATCTCTGAAACGGACCTGATTGTACAATACCTACTCGATGACGGATGGGGATAAAGCTCAATACAACGCTCTACATTCGGGTTTTTTAGAGTTGTCTCGGTTTCGTTTCATCATGTGTTTTTCATGTGATGGAGAAGGTTCAGACTGCAATAAAGTCATTTTCCTCGCATCTAGCAGCGAAAGTCTTGCGAGATATATATGATCTTCACTTTGCGCGGATGGAACAAGCTATTTTGATGTCGTGGGACGCAATTTCGTTGGTATGAAATCGATCCACGATTGTATCTATTCTCAAAGTACATGAATGCGCAATGGCTGCAAGGTCACTTCAGTACGTGGCAAGCGTATACTACTCCTACTGGTTTTGCGACTTCTAACAGCTTAGCCGAAGCATTCAACGCCACACCCAAAAGGGACTACACGCTG